TGACAGCATATTCTGCAGTTCTTCCCTGCTGTACCGAATATCTACACTTTTCAAAGTATCATATTGAAGTTAGAAATTCAAATATTGTGACAAAATTAATTTTGTAGGGTGCCACAAATTTGTTAAAATTTCCAAAGGGTGCCGCGACTAAAAAAAGGTTGGGAAACACTGATTTAGCAGACACTTTTATCCAAAGTGACTTACACAAATGAGGACAATGGAAGCAATCAAAATCAACAAAAGAGCAATGATACGCAAGTGCTATAACAAGTCTCAGTTAGCTTAACGCAGTACACGTAGCAAGGTTTTATTTTAATTATATAATAAATAAGAAGAAAACAGATAGAATAGAAAAAGAATAGAGCAAGCTAGTGTTAGAGGCCTTTTTTGCTTTTGTTATAATAATAATATAATAATAGTTTAATATATTTAATCCTAAATATTGTGATGTCTCTTAAGAATTGTATAATTTGACAAACTGAATTAAGCTTAAGAAGACAATATATGCAATATTTTTTTATAAATATTATATATGAATATTGAATCATTTTTATTATATTTCACTACAGATTATACCACAAGCTTTTTCAGAAATCATGTGTTGAACCTGCAGGTGAGACAATTCTGGCAAACCTGGAGTACACACACACACACACACACATATATACTGTATATGCACATTCAGCAACTTTAGCAATGACTACATTCATAATACAGCATGGCATCTAAAATCTCTCTGTATTTTTAGGCTGAATAGCGATATACAATATATATCTTCTATATATTTTCTACAAAGTGAGGTAAATGTTGAGTTTTTTTTTACATAGACTCACCATAGGTTAATGGAGCTGGCTTAGCACTGTGTCTCAGGTCAGACAATGTGCAAATGGAAGGCTATGAAAACAAATATAGTGAATGTTTCTGTGTAGACTATAGGCTACAGGCTACATGAAGGGTTACGTTCTAACCTATACTACATATTACATTCTTAACCAAAAAACATCTGTTTTTAAGGCAGAAGTTAAAAAATTAAAATAAATAAAAACCAAAGCACATACCAAAGCACCAACCCATTTCAATAGTCCCTTTGCAGTTACTGACTGCTCTTATAAAAATACAATTACTTGTGCCATATGTAGAATTTTAGACCTACTTATAACAACACATTTGTCTAACAACAGATGTTTAACAAAATATATAATTTATTTTAGTCAGAAATACCTGTGCCATCATAGCTGGCTGTCAGGATGAGCCTTTATCCATCCATTCTCCAAACCGCTTACCCTCTCTGCATCCTTTATGTAAAATGGAAATACACACGTCTTTCTAACACTTATAGATGAGTATATGCTGGTTATGAATGAAATGTGAATGAATTGTAAGGGTAAGGCACTTTAAACTATATGCTAATGAAGTGTTAATAGCTATGTTTCCATCCACCTATTTTTAAGCACATTTTGGAATATTGCATAAAAAAAACGCTGGATGGAAACGCCAAGATGCGCATAAATTCTAAAAATGGGCATAAAAAACTTTTGCGCTCAACTGAGTAGGATAAACTTTTTATCCGATAAGAAAAAATGCGCATAAACTATGATGGAAACACATTTACCGAATAAATTCCACCATGCGCATTGAAAAAGTCATGTGACTTTGCGCTATGAGACGGGATAAATTGACTAACCAGCGGACCGATCTCGTTCA